TTTAAATATTTAGGTTTCGGCGCCTCAGATAAAATGTCGTTTAAACCAACAGTAGACGCAGCAATCGATAAAATTCGTAAATCCTATTCTAAGTTAAAATGGCTTTCTAAAGGTGATGCGGTTTCTATTAAACTTCGACGTCAGTGTTTTTTTTGCTTATTCCTTTCCCTTCTTCTCTGGTATTTTTCCCATTTATCCTTTTTTACCCAAAACTTACGTTGAACTGTTTAATCGGACATTTAGAGTTGGGATGAGGATAGTCCATAATTGCCCATTTGTCGATGCCGAAGAATTATTTGCGCTTTGCAAGGAAGACCAACTTGAAGATTACATAGTTAGATTTCTAGAAAGGAGACTGAGGCGATGCTATGACTCGGACCTCTGTACATCACCTATCTTCGATGATGTTTTTTATTGGGACCAATATCATCCCGCAAAACTATTACGGGTGGGCAACTATTTCTCCTTTAAGAGAATTAACAGGCAAAGAGACAGACACGTATCGGTACTGGCTACCTGGATAGAATTCGTGAAAGAAAGAATTAATCATTAAAGGTGTTTAGTGCGTGCTGTAAAAAAAAAAAAAAAGAAAAGAAGAATAGAAATGAAAAATATCCATGGGAAAGAGTCAACAGAAAGAGAAAATATATATCATAAAAAGCAGAAGAGTGAATACATATATCAGAGGAGCAGAAAGAGAAAATAACCATCGAGTGACGATGAGAATATGTATATTGAAAGATGACAACTATTGATATGAGATTAGGTTAACTACTTCCTAACATATATATTTATATATTCGTTTTCAAATAAAATAATCTAATACACGGTTGGAAATAATATTTTTCCAGGGGGGTAGAGCTGAAACTACGAATGATATAAAAATTTATTATACACCAAATTAATGTTCATCTAAAATGGAATTGATGTGTACGACTGATATTCTGTATGACGATTATTAGCTGTAGAACTATGGAAGTTTCTATCGAGTGCGTCATAATGATTAAATTCTAGGTGTAGCAGTGCTTTGAGTAAAAGTCCCGTAACTTCAACAAAACAAACGCTTTTTCGATCGGGGTTTGTTTTGTTTTGATCAGGAATGATTGCTTTTCTATTACTAATTCTGAAATCAAAACATCGATCAGGTTTTCCATTTCTTACTTCGGCACATTGCTGGAAAATGAGGAAAAAAAAAGGTGCGTCACGAAATATTCTACAAAACCATACCTAAACTTTAATTTTAGAACTTTAATCAAGGAAACTACGTAAATTATACGAAAGGCGAAACAAAATGAAAACTTTGTATAGTTGGTATTTTTTCGATTTGGTACTTTTTTTGAGTTTGATAAAGTAACAACCAAAAACTGTTAAAAACACGTTTCTAGTTGTTATAGACAGAGATAGAGAGCGACGCGAGAACAGGTGTTTTAGATGAAAAACTCCTTGAACCCAACTTATAATTTTGAGTTTGTAGTTAAATGTAAAAAACACTTTAACTTTTTATTGCTTGCTTAGAGTATTGGTCTTAATGCCATAGAAAACAAGATGTTGCGACGCGTTTCGTTTTATTTAAAAATAAAACTCATCAGGCAAGTTTTTTTATATATCTCTTTATAATAATTTGTAATATAAGCGTTTTAAAAGTTAAAGTGTTTTTTACATTTATGAACGCCTAAAAGTTCCCGCATGTACAAAGAAAATTTTGGAAGTCGATAAGACTTAGCAGATTTTCTTAAATATTCTGACTATACCATCTCTAGAAAAAGTGATCATCATATTTCTGGACGAACACTTTCCTCGTTTCACCAGAAAAATCACTTTTAACCCATTCATTATCAGCTGCAGCTTTTATATTCACTATAAAAAAGTAACTAAGCATGCACCAGTTTAAGTGAAACGATTACCGATACAACCGAAAAAGGCTTTTTCTTTGCACACATTCTTGAAAATACGTTTAAAGCAAAATCAATGTGAAATGCTCATTGTAGAAGAAGAAATGTTTAGAATTGTACACTTAACACAATAGTTTTGGGATCCAGCACTTTTCATGCAAACTTAAGAAAAGAAAGCTATTTTCAAGATACAACTTTTAGTTTTTGAAAAAATTTCACTGCTAGAAAAAACTTTTTTTCCTTTAAGTTTGCATGAGAAATATTCAACGTACACTTCTGAATATTTTTTCATCTAGGATGAGCATTTCAGATGTTTCCAAAACACGTTTTGAGAAGGGTATTAGAACTGGCGAAAATCTTGTTTAGGGTTTCGAAAATGTTACTATATGATATCCTTTTGGATATCCTAGAGTTCGAATACTCTTTCCAAAAACCCTTTTTAATTTTTCGAGAATACTCTAGTTTTTTACAGTGTGTTTAGAGTTTAGTTACATAATTCACTTCAGAGAGGGAAAAAACATAAAAGCGTAAAAGTGTGGTTTATTCAAAGAAAAGCTGAAAAATATGTCATTAATATATTACAACGCTACATATTTTTCATGGATAATGACGTCCAGTCTACAAGAGAAGAATTTTGGAATGAAAGGAATTATATCATTGATGAATAGCTCGTTCAATTCTATACAAAACGAGATGTCAGACAATGTTCTAGCCAGAAATAATAAAAAAAAATACGAGGTGCATACAGAAACCAGCATTACAGTCCATTCAAAAATGAAAGGTGAGTTTGTGCAAGTGGAATAACTTTTGATAGAAACATGCTAAACCTATTCAGACAGAGAAAGGCTTGTTCTATTCGAATAACATAGTTTCAAAAGTTCTCAGTCGCGGGAACCCTTAGAGAAAGCGAGTTTTCCAGTTTTTTCTGCAAAGCCGCTCATTTTTTAAAAATTAACTTCCTTAATTTTTCCAAGTGCACTTGTGACTGAAAAATTTTGAAACTATGTTATTTGGATAGAGCAAGCTTTTCTCTATCTACAACTAAAATAAATTTACGGAAGAAGTAAAAACTCAACTATTTTTTCTTCCATCTTTAACATCAATGTGAAATAATTTGTCGAATAAATTACGTTAAATACGTCTTTCACACAAGATTTATCAACGTTTTTAGAATCAACACCAAAATTAAAAGTAATGAGAGGAATGAATAGAATTGCTGATATCGCGTTTTATCAAACGCGTTGTGACTTTTCGGCATTGAGATCTGACTTATTAAAACGGCACATTTTAAAAAACCCAAGCGATGATTCGTTGTGACTGTTCTCAAAGTGAAACAGTCGAGCACTTCTTTCTCTCATGCCCAATTTACCATTTAGTTACATCTGAAGGGGCAAAAGCAATTGCAGAAGCCTTGAAAACAAACCAAACATTAAAGACGCTTGACATTACACTCAACAATATATCAGATGAAGGGGCAAAAGCAATTGCAAAAGCCTTGAAAACAAATCAAACATTAGAAACTCTCGATATCCGGAACAACAATATATCATCTGAAGCGGCAAAAGCAATTGCAGAAGCCTTGAAAACAAACCAAACATTAGAAACTCTCAATATCTGGAGCAACAATATATGATCTGAAGGGGCAAAAGCAATTGCAGAAACCTTGAAAACAAACCAAACATTAAAAACTCTTAGGATATGTATGTGCACTATTAGAACGAAGTTATCTCTTTGTTAAGTGTTTTACAGTACAGTTTCAGAATTTTCACAAGCTCGAAGCGGGCTCCTCCCATGGTTATAATCGAAATTGGGTTAGTTGTATGAGGTTCTGCAATTATTCATTGATAAATTTATAACAAATGACCACTGGCAGTTCATTGTCACTTGCCCGCTCGGACAAGGTCTGATCTCGAGAATCATGAGTCGTCTAATGGGCGGGAAGTGTTCATTCTACTCCTTGTGCACTGATTATTCACTGTGTATTAAAGTTATGTGTTCAACCGTCTTTGTCTTTTATGACAGAGATGTATAGCAAACATAGCTCAATTTTGCGCAGTTTATCTTGCCCAATTTGGTAATATTGCTCGATCAGGCCAGATTGATACAGCTCGTTTGCGTAAGGTTTCCAGCCCGACAGTCCGTTGTCACTTGCCCGATCGGGAAATATTGCTCAAACGAGCAACTTGCCCGATCAGGCAAGACTCTATCTTGGAAACCGTAGGTCCTCTAACGGGTGAAAATTGCTTATTCGTCTTATCGCACATTGTACATTTATTGTACATCAAAATTATATGTTCCACGTTTTTCCTTTCTCATGGAAGAAATGAAAAACAAATTTAGCTCAATAATCTGGCAATATTGCTAGTTCGGGCAAGGTCAGTATTGCCGGTTTCGACAATATATCTTGCCAGGTATATTGATTTACATACTTTACGCAGATTTATATGCGTAAATTGCGATTTATGATAAATAAAACTCTGTCAAAGTGTGAACGTATCTGATAAATTTCATGAGTACTTCTCTTTCTATTCATCTGCAGTCACTCTCTAACTTTGTACTTTTATAGACAAGACAAAGCTCTTTCTTTTCATTGTTTTCGTTAGATGAATAAGAATGAGAAAAAACAGAATGTATATAAGGTGCCGCTAATTCAAAAGGTCCTTGCCAAAAATGAATCCTATCGTATTATACATGGTTAAATAGAGCTCGTCGAGCTGATCACGAATATGCCCTTTAAAAAGTTTGAAAGTGAAATGTACGGC